TCCTCCCGTGGTCATCTCCTTCCTCCCGTGGCGGGATGCGGAGCGGCGGCTCCTCGGCCGGGGTTAAATCCACTGGAGCTGGGCCCACGTCCGCCCCGCGGAGCGGGGCAACGCCGGCCGGGCGCCTTGCCGGGGCGAAGACCTTCTTCTTGCACTGTGGTTTTTTTTTTTTGGTGGTTGTTGTTTTTAAAGCTTGTGCAAGCACGCTCGCCTTGGCCGGAGGTCCGCCGAGCACGGAGAGGTCTCGCTCCCTCCGCCGGGAGGAAGGTCTCCCCTGAAACAGGCTCTCAGCCCGAGCGTGTCCCTTCGCCACTGGGAGGACGCCGGCGTGGAGGACAACGTAGGGCACCTGAGGAGCCGCCGAGGCGCTCGGGAGTGACCGTCCCCTCGCCAAACCTTCCCTTATAGCCCCACGCGCCCGGTTGCTCGCCCTGATGGAGAGCTCGCCCCCGGACCTCCGGCTCCGATGACCCCGGAGGACTTCACTCAGATCTCGAGCGCGGTGGGGAAGCACGAGGAGCGTTGCAAGGGCCGTCTGCCAGCACGGGGACATCCCGAGAAGACGTTCTTCACGCTTCTGCGCACATCACGCCATGACCTGGAGATGGTGTTTCGGTGCTTCCCGTTCTGGCTCCGACATCAAAAGCCCCGTTCTCTAGCTCGCCGTTTGTGTAACAGCATGATTTGGGGGTCTGAAAAGGTGTGAGCGGAGAGACAAGGACGTGTGTTGTCCTCACAGGTCGCATCCTGGTCAGAGAGGAGCCTGGGGCTGGTTTCGGCGTTGCGCGTGCACGCCTGGACAGCCGCCCGCGCTCACTGCGATTCACCCCTGCATCTGAGCACCTCTTCACATATACCGGTAAATTGGTAAACCCCCGGTAATGGAGAGCTGTTTCGTATTGATACAGCTAATTTTATGTAGCAAATGGAGTCTACGGTAGCTGCAGTTTCATTCTCGATGACACCAATGGTGCTATAAAGGCAAAGCACCACGTATCCAAAACGGCATACCCCTATAAAACGCACATCAGCCAGACCAAAAGTATCTTCCTATCGCATCAGCAACATGAAAAGGGTCTTAAGTATAAAATGTAATTTTACATTCACTTAAAGGCTTCTTTGCACCTTCTGAAAGAGAGATGCCAAGCATAAGCAACCCAAGAAGGAAGATGGTGAAGGGACATGAGCAGCTAATTCTGGTGGTGCCTTGCGATGTCTGTTGCATAGGTCCAGGCAGGTTCCAGGAGGTTTTGCCATAACAGCATTGAAGTCATTTTGGCTGACAGCTCAATCTAAGCCCTCCTTTGCTTTCAGCACCATGTTAGATGTCTCTCTTGAGCAGTTGTGGGTGTTAAGGAAGCCCCTGCGTGTCTGTCCCTTCCCTTCTGGGGGTTTGATGCCATGTGACTCCTCGTGGTTAATGGAGAGCATTGTCTGGCCGAGGAGCCCCCGGGGCCGCAGTGGATTCGGGTCAGGTCCATCAGGGCAGACCTTCCCGGCTGGGCTTGCACGCAGAGCTGGCTGGCGGTGGAGCATCTCTGGAGAGCTGGGCCTGGGGATGGCCAGAGGGAGCCCAGTCGCCCTCGAATCACCACCTGGCAAAAGGCCCTCTGAGAAGTTGAGCGTAGACATCGCATTGCCGTGCTCGGCTGTAAATGCAAAATGCTGCAGGTTTCGTTACGAATGGAGGAGAAAAGAATAAAAGGGCCTTTTTGCTGAAGAGTAGAAGGAGGAATTGTCCCACCTCCGGACCAGGCTGTGACCAGGAGCCATTTCTCCCCCTTTCCTGGGCATGGCTAATGCACGGTTAGTGGCAGCTCGGGGAGCATCCTCGTAGGCTCCTTGGAAGGGTGATGGACAAGTCCCCTGAGCAGGTGGAGAGATGCTGGGAAAGCGTTTTCTGGTGGACAGCAGGGTTGCACGGAGCGAAGGAGACCCGCTCCAGGCGGCGAAGCAGGAGCCAGGGAAGAAGACACCGTTGGGTAGAAGGTTTTCTTCCCTCGCCGTCACGGTCCCAGCGCCGGGGTCGGCCGCCGACGATGCCC